TCCAGTTCTTTTTCCACTGGTTGCATGCTCCGTCTTCTGCATAATGGACGGTGTCCATCTGGTTTTCAGGACGGACCGGCAGGTTGCAGAAGTGTGAGCTCCTGAGCTTTCGCTCCACGACCCGCAGAGTCTGTCGGGGGGGCCAAAACATGGACACCCAGTGTCATCACCTCTACCGGGCTATGTTCTTTTTTGTTTTCTGCTTGGTGGGTGCAATACACCTTCTTTTCTTAAACGTGCAATTTTCACCTGGTATCAATGCGGTGCAATACCTTTTTCTCGGTTTTGTCTCGTTTTCCGGCAAATCCGCTTGGTTCGATGTCGCTTGGTCCAACGACTGCTTTGTAGATGCCCCGAACATGGGAGGGTCATGCCGGCTGCTTGGTATCCGTGGCTGGACAACCCCACATGGGCCGCATGGGTTGACCCCTTGACATGGACCCCTTGGAAGTGCTAGGTGGTCTCCATCTATCCTTCCCTAGGGATCAAAGTACCTTCTCAGAAGGTGATTGGAGACTATTTACGTATACGCTTGGAGGGCCCAAGTACCTTCTGAGAAGGTATGTGGCCTCCATCTATCCTTTTTGGCATCAGTTCCACCACCGTTCACCCGTTTTTCTGCAGATCTTGGCCTCTGCAGTGGCAGGCTCCCAGGCACGGTGGCTGCGGGATGCTGCGGGTGGGTTTAGCCACTGTGGGGTTTCATCGCTGACCGGTGGTTTTGTGTGGTGATGTATTCCTATGACCTCTATTTTGGGACCACCAACCATCCAAAATAGGGTCTTTTCCTATCAAAACAGGGGTCAATTGGGTTCTAAGTTCTAGGTGTATAACTATATATTATTATATTATACACGTTTTTAATTCAAAATGCTTTGATCATTATTTAGGGGCTTGAGCTGATTCGGGATTCCTAGGGGTTGGTCCGCATTGACATTGCTGAGAAGCAGCTTGTCATCATCAAAGCGGATTGCAAAACGACCTGGCGGCCAAAAGTGCAGGATGTTCGTCACTTGGGACAGCCACACGCACAGTGAACACGTATTGGTGCTTGAGTTCCGGCCCCAGCAGTGAAAAAGGGCAGATGACACACACGTTTGGGCATCACTCTGGTACACCCCCAAGGGGAACTCAGAGAGCCCCTGCAATCAGAGTTCTTTTGGGATCGAAGGGGTCGAAGGTCCAGTGCCCATAGGGTCGATGCACACTTCGACGGTTCCCGGTTCGGAGCGGCTTCTTCTCCCCAGTGACCCGCCCAGCGCCAAAAAGGCGGAGAACCCGCAAGAGCCCTTTTTGTTGGATTGAAGGCACCCCACTCCAAATCCAAATCCGGTGGACCAACCACAGGTGTAAACCACCACAGGTGCAAACCAACCACAGGGCCGGAAAAAAAAGCACTCCCTCAAGCGTTCGGAACACCGGCAGTTCACCGTACCGACCGTTTCCCCCAGTCCACGGTACGGTGAGTCCAGAGGTTCGGGGTCAGACCGATCGCCCTGTTCCGATGGTCGCACCGTACGGTAGCAGGTCGTGTGCCTGCCGGGAGTCTTCCAGGCGGGACGATGGGAACCCCTAGGCCGACGAAGGGATGGGGCAGAAGCACCAGCTGACTGGGGTGGTCGAGTTCTTTTTCTTTCAATCCTAGAGAGGGCCAGTTGGGGATGTCGGGTGGGAATCCTTGGGACATCAACATTCTAAAAAGGTAGCATTCTGGAGTTGAGAGGGTTCCAGAAGTATGTGGTAGTCTGGCAGTTGCATCGATTTGATGATCTAGCTTGTCTCAGAATCTTATCAGTTCTCTTCTGAGTGCAGGCGGTCAGTGACATTTCACCAGTCAGTCAACCGCCATGAAGAAGCTTATCTTATCACTTACAGGTATATATTCCTGGACCTTCGGGTCGGGGTGTCCAGGCTTGTTCGGTCCCTTAGTAGGTCGTGGGCGTAGGGGCTTAACCAGCCAGGTGACCCCCACATGAAGGTGCTGGTATGATGGACCTGGCGTTTCTCGAGACCTGCCGCGAGAAAAACACAAGAGATGGCGCTCTTTTATCTGGAACTCACACGGGCCAACGTAAATGGCCAACGTGAGGAAGACCAGGTCCTATACAAACAGCAGATTTCCCACTTCCATGTGAGTTCCAGCAAGAGTATATCGTTTGCATTGGAAGACCTTCCAGCTGCTTCCGGACACGGGGTCACCTAGCTCAATACGTAGTCACAGGTCTCCCTGTCCAGGGCATCCCGACAGGAAGCGCTAGGTTGGATCAAACGAATGTCAGCGTCCCAGTCTATTGTTGACCGATGATTGATGAAACCCCTCAACACTGGACGATGTCAACTCGGGGGGTATCTTGCCAGGCTGCAGTCCACCAAGCCAGGCAGCCAGGCATCTTGACCCATTCTTTCTATTCCCCACTGATGAGTCGAAAAAGTCGAAAAAGTGCCTTGGCACGGTCTCCACGGAGCGAGCGTCCGCCACGTCCGGTCCCTGTGCCACGTGTGCCACGCAGGTGCAGAACTTCCACGGGGCCTTGGTCGCCCAGCCGGAGCCCAACTGGTATTCCGCAGCACGGATGCCTGGGACTGGTCGTGGGTGGTAGACACCCTGGTGGTCGGGTGGGGGGGTTACTACGCGTGCGAATCGCACGCGTTTGCTGCTTTGGAGTAGAAGGGGGGTGAAGATAGATGCAGCCTGGTGCAACTATGCACTCAGCAGCCTCTCACTTCAGCAAGCGTTTGCAAGCTCTTACCACATCGTACAAACATATATAATATATTATATATATATTATATGTACAGATATTATACACATATACAAGGTCTAGACTACTATATTAACATGTCTCTTTCTTGCCGGGCACGCAGCTCCGAGGTGCCCACCATGCACCTGCAGATCCTTCAGTTTGCAGAGGAGGTCGCCAAAGAGAAGGCCCGGGTCCGCGGACGTCAGATGTGCGCTTCAGGTTTTGACAAAACCCATTGGTGTTCGGAGTTGCAGGTGGTACAGGACCCTTTCCATCAAGTAGGGACCCTACTTGCTCATGGTGCTTGTTGGGGTGGTGTTCGGTTCAGGGTCCCCTTGATGAATGGTGCATGCTTTTTGTTGGATGAGCGCTGTGAACCGTGTTTTTTCCCTGTGGCATTTGATCACGCTTCGATTTCTTTTGCCTTACGTCTGTGACATTCAAGAGAGAGAGAGAGAGAGTGGAAAGCTGAATGGGTTTGTTCTAAGAGAGCCAAAAATGATGAGAATCGAGAAAGTACTACCAAGATAGGTAGATAGGTTTGGAAATACACTGATGTTTCTATATTTTTCTTATGTGCACTTGCAGAGGAGGGCGAAGTTCACATATGTCATACCAGCCAACCAGGAAGGACACTCTCCACATCGGATTCGTTTCACCAAACCTTTCCGTGAGGATTCTCCGAACCTCCCGGGAGATCCGAAGATCCTTTGAGCCGCGCAACCCGCCACAGCACAGATAGTCCTCAAAAAGGCAGGCGTCCAACTCGACATGGCCACGGGTGGCCTCCGGCCTCCAGGGCAAGCCGCCCGAGAACAAGCTGGAGCTGGTGAGGAACTGCCGGGAGTCCCGTCGAATCCTGGAGGACCCGAGGACCACGGAACCCGAGAACGCTCAGGGTGAGACGACCCGAGGACCGAGCAGACGACTTCTTCTGGTTCGGAAACGAAGTCGTGAGAGACCGTGAAAGGTTGGGAAGGTCTTGGGATGAGCAGTTGATCACTCCGGTGATTCCGAAAAAAGAGCCCCAAGAAGCTTCAAGCAGATTCTGATTCGTCCACTATATAGGACCGGTGCCTTTGGTGAATCCAACATATGACCCCCCTTTGTTTCTTTATTTTTTGATCCTTTCTTTGTCGAGTTTTCTAAAACTGACCACGCAGCCCCTTTCTCGCCATAGAGAAGACTTTTGCACCCCCTTTCACCACCGATTGAATCCGGAATCACCTCCCCCCCAACACAATCCATTCTTTCTTCCGAACAGGACACACTCACCCGGCGAATCCCCAGTTTCCTTGCCGTTCTGATTTGTTTCGGGCCACGTTGGACCTCGTTTTGGGGCTACGTTGGACGGAAGACAGCCTGACGTGCCCACAAACCAGGCTCCGCAGCCCTCGTGCCCACGGTGGCCGTGGCCATGGAGGAAGTCCTCAAAGCCGCCGACTCGGAGGTTGCGACGCCGCTGCCGGCGTCGCGCTTTGGTTCGGGCTCATGATCCACCGAAGCCAGACGGAACGGAGAAGGAGTCGAGTCGTACGTGCCTTTTGGTTGGAAGACGTACTGAACTGTGAACTCCGGGGGCCCCAAACAAGGAGATCAAACGAACTTCCCAGCCAAGAGGGGTGGCGAGCACGAGACCCCCCATGCCGCCCGTGGGCCGCCCAGCCGCACTCCGGGTGCCCGAAGCGAGTACACGGAGGGTCGGAAGACCGAGCCCGCTGACGAAGTCAGAGCTTCGGTTCGGGACGAAAAAGGGTCAGGCGGGTCCCTTCCAAAAAGGGATTGATTCCACTGACAGTACCCGAGGCTCGGACCAAGCTACCATGCACATTGGACCCAACACGGTGACCGCCAAAGAACGAGTCTCCAATCACCGAGACGAAAAGGGTGCCTGCACCGCCAACCATCGGTGCACTCCAAACTCGCTCGCGAGTCGTGCCGCGACACGAGTCACGCGTGCGACGAAGCACGTTTCGGTGGAAACGGGTCAGTGAGCAAAAAGATGAGATGCTTCAAAGGACTGTTGCAGAGATTTCCAGATTCGAGTTGTAGAAGTTGTAGAACTTGTGATTGCAAAGCTGTGAACTTCCGTCGGTTCGTTCGTCAGTGCGGCCAACAAACATCTTAGGCGCTGGTACTTTTGGATGACACTCCCAGGGAGCCACAGACTCCATATTATGCAGTATTTGCTTAAAAGTGGCTCCCTCATCCCATCCCATCCCATCCCACACTCTCGAAAAACTCAAGCCCCCCAGGCTTGGTTGAACTTCCTCACTTCTGGTGTCTCGTGCGCCCACGCCATGGCCACTGTGGAGGGCACGCGCCGCTTCGTGGAGCGCCTGGTGCGGCAACAGCGCCTCGCACCGGCGCTGGCGACCCGACGCTTGGGGCCGCTGCACTGCACGGCCTTGGGTTTTGGCGCGTACCGCTTTCCGGGTGAAGCGAAGGACCAGGCACCGGTCGTGACCGTTTGGGGGAGGAGGATTGATCGGCGTTGGTCTTGTGCGGCTGCATGGCTGAAAGATGGTCGAAAGCGAGTCGCTCCAAAACAAGAAAAACATTGACAGGTGTCAACCGAGCTTGTTTTGCGGAGATTGGTCCACGGAGCTTGGGCCTGGGGTTATAGATCCAGGTGTTTGAAAAAACACCGGTCTGCAGCTTGCAGGTGACGTTGTTTGAGCCAATTTGGTTCAAAGTTCATCTGTTGATGGAAGAAATCAAAGAAGCACATGGCGCATTGGACCCCCACGTCAACTTCCCCTTTTCGTGGTTTACAGGCTCAGCTGTTAGCCGCATTCCAGAGGGAACATGCTCCAGAGTCCAGCCAGTCTAGTCGGAGGTGTGTTGGTCTCAAACAATGAATGCACCCTGCACCCCAACCCAGCCACCCAAAGCACTCAGATGTACCTTCCTTAAGACCCTTGGCTCAAGTGGACCAAAAGGGCACACAAAGCCCCGACTTTTGGGATTGCTAGCGTTGTGAGGTCTCACTTGCTTTGCCCAGGTCGCTTCAATGTGACAAACAAAACCGTTTCCAGTGTCCCCCAAGTGGGCCACGTGCCTATCAAGAGCCCCCCAGCCCTCGCCCCTTCTCCTTGGTGAATTTGGGGTGTCCATGGTCACCACGAACCCATGTGCTCAGGGTGCGCTCCGGGTAGCTCAGAGATCTGACGACTCCCGAGATTCGCTGCAGGTACCCCGTGAGATCCTGCAGAGGGCTTTGAGTTCGGTGAATGTCATTGACACCTCCAGCCACTATGTGTCCGGCGAGAGCGAACGAGACTTGACAGGGCCAGGGCAGACTGAAAGGTGTTGAAGAAAGGGTACTATATATATATACTAACGTGCGACATCTTGTGAAGCGGAAAACACTAAGGAGGATGGCATGAATCATTCTTTTGCGGAATGTTGTTTTTCAAGTGGCTATTGGAGGGTACAAGTAAAAACTTTCACGAGAGTAGTTCTTGGTTGAAAGGACTCCTACCTCACCGTGCTCACCAGGTGCTCACCGTGTTTGGTCTTTTTTGAGCAGCAAGCACAGGGGGGTGTTGCGGACTTCTTCCATGAAACCAGTAGCTCCGTCATCGCCCATCCCAGGAGAGATTGGGAAATTCTTCAGTGCTGTGGACGCCAGGGAGGAATACATCCTTTGCACCAAGGTAGGTCATGTGCCCCGAGGAACCTCGCCCAAAGGGGCTGTTCCAATCTACCAACGTTCACAACAGAGCACGGATGCTCGGCACCTGGACCTTCTTTCGGGGTGTCCTGGCTGGAGGTCCCTTACTAGTGGGCTGGGGCTTCCAGCCAGGTGACCCCGACATGAAGGTGCTGGCAGGGTTTTTTTTGGTTCCCCAGACAGCGCGAACTATTGGAGTTCTTACTTCAAGTATATGAAGAGGTGCCTGTGTGCGCTTTGGAGCCTGGGTGCTGGTTCCGGGGGTGTCTTCTCACTTGGACCCTTCGATGTTGGACCTTCGGAAGGAGTCATGGAGTCATCAGCCCAGGATGACTTGCATTGTATCGAGGGGTCTTTCGTGGAGTCCGAAGTTCGAAGCTGCCTTGAGCGATTAAAGATGAAGCAGATTGACTTTGTGATGCTGCATAATCCTGAGTACCTGCTCTCCGCCCGGATGCAGGAAAAGGTTCCCATCGCGGATGCCTGGGATGAGATGTATGGTGCTCTTTTTGAAGCCTTCAAGACCTTGGAACGCTTGTGCGACGAGGGAATCATTTCGTGTGGCTATGGTGTGAGCAGCAACTTCTTGTCATGCCTCCTGGCGGAAATTGAAGCCATCAGTTTTGACTGAAGAGACCCAAACACCATAGCTTGAGGAGACCCCAACACCCACAGAAGCCGGAACCAGAACTGACTCGGCGTTGACCGGGCATTCCTTATATGGAGAGGGAGCGACGGAGTCTTGGGTGAGGTTCACAGCCTGTCCTAGAATTCTCAGAAGAATTGAGGCTTTTTCTTGATCGTCATGCTTCACGGGCCATTCGCCGGTGCTTTCCATCGGCCTTTGATCCCCATTTTCACCCGGACCTTTCAATCGGTGTTCTCCTGCGTGTCGTTTGATCAATCCTTCCCGCTCTGAGAGGTCTCTTCTCGGTGACGGGGCTCCCCAATTTGTATGAGTCGCTGGTGCTGGACCGCGTACTGGATGCGGCCCAGGCCGCTGCCCAGGCCGAGAACTGCCAGAGCTGTCGGTTTCAAGTTGCACAGCTGCCCTTGAATCTTGGGAGTCACCTGAGACATTCTTCCGTGTTCACCACTGTCTTAGCCACTGTCTTTCCTCCCCCACCTGAAATCACCCAAACACCGAAGAAGACACAGATTCGCTTGGTTTTTCGTGTCTTTTTTGGGTGGTGTTGCGGTATCCTCACAGATTCGCATCGATTGTTTGGACATTCGATGGTTTGGTCATCGACGAACACATCCAAGGAATGCCTGGGAAAATGGTGCTGTGCTTGGAAGAGAAGCCCAGGCTGAAGGCGATTGCTTCATGGCCACCCGCTTGGGCATTTCTCTGCTCACAAATCGACCCATCAATGCCTTACCAATCCCAGGTGTGAGCAGTGGAGATTGGGGCCGCAATGACAAGCACTTGCAACTTCGAGAGGCTAAGCCCATGGGGACCACAGAGTCTCTCCTGAAGAGGGTCTTAACAGAGGCCATGGGACAGGGCATGGCAGGCATCCATCCACACGCGTGTGGACCAATTCGTTACATTTCGTTACTAATTTCTAAAGAGCAATGACGAAGCACCTCCTGAAGCCCTGCTTTTGAGAGGCGCTTGGAGAAGAGGCTCCACTACAACAGTTGGCCCTCCGATTGGCACTCTCGGCACCAGGCAGCGCATGTACATTGAATGGTGCCCATCGCTGGAACTATTTGGACGATCTAGAAGAGGTCTTGACCAAGGAGCTGTTGGGTTGAGATGTGAATGTTTTCTGGACCTCGTGGGCCTCGTGGGCCCAGGGGCACAGGCTAAGGTGAGGTATGTCATCACAAGCACTGAACGGTAAGGCGGTCATATCAGGTCATCTCAAAATATGCTCACTTTTCCCTTGAAGATCCTTGAACTTTGATGTGGGTAAACAATGGTGAACACCTAGACAGAAGATGGCAGAAGACTCCACAAGGTTCTAGCCTCTGCTGCGAGAGTATTGTTCATTTATGTGTGATCATTTTGGCATACCGGTGTTCCATGATCCCTAAGTACCAGGTATCTCTTGGACACCCCTTGCCCTACAGCCCTCCGCCCAGGAGCCCTTCCAGGTCTCACAGGTGCAGAAGGCGATGACCGCTGCGCGGTCCATGGCCACGGAACTGGGGTGTCGCAAGGAAGGTCTTTGGTGAAGCGAGGTGAAGTGAGGTCGCCCAACCGTCGGGCGGTAGGTCGCAAAAGTGGAGCGTGGAGGCGTGGGGGGCAGAGCAGGGTGCATCCAAGCATTACGCGACATGGCAGGGGTTTTGACGGCAAAAAATTGCACAAATTCCAGTCCGAAACCTCCGTTTTCTTGCGAACGCGACTGCTTTCGCCTATTGAAGCTCACTCTCGACCGGTCTTTCTCAGCCAGTGCCTGCTGAGCAGGCAGGCACTGCTCGCTTGTAGGGGATGTTTGTGCCTGTCTTTTCGCTTGTTGGAAGATCTTTTTTGGGGCACTTGAATGGAAGAGTCCGGTCCAGCACCGGGGCAGGGATAGCACCTCTGTTCGGTGGATCGCAGTGGGGAGCTGGGTGGGCCGGACCTGCAGTTCGGTCCGGAAATCCACTGGGTGGGGAGTGACCGCTGCGGTCGCAAGCGAGGCTTCGGGTGACTGAAATAGGAACACCTGTCGTGATGTTTTTTGGTATGATCAGTATGATCAACTCCCAAAAGAGGTCTTGACCGTTGTATTTTGGAGCTGGGAGACCATTTTACTCGTCCCGGTCGGGTTGTAGACTGGTCGATGTCATGGATGGATGGGATGGATCGGCTGGCTGGCTGGATGGATCGGATGGGATGGGATGGGATGGGATGGGATGGGATCTGCTTCATGGTCCGGAAGTTGAAGAGTCACATGATGCAGCGGGAAGTTATGCCCAAAGGAGTCATCGAACGTCGGGAAGTTTCTGGGTTTGATCAGGAACCTCGTAGGAGGCAGTCCATTGAGGTTTTCGAGGTTTCTTGGGAGAACAGGAGCATGGGCTTCATCTGGGTGCAAGGAGTGGTCGTTAAGGTGAAGAGCTCCGTCTGCTTCTTGCAGCGCTCTAGCGTGACGTCGAACATTTGGATGGGCTCAAGCCAAGCTGAAAACGGATGACATCCGTCAGTGGATACATGTGGATGCCGTGAAGTGATCCCCGGACTGCTCTTGGGTAGCTCACCAGTGGTTCCAAGACCTGTTGGAGGCCGTTGGAATTGATCGGCCTAGATGTATGTTACTGTGCGGTGCACGGTGCACTGGGTTTCATGCATGTATTCCGTGTAACCTCTTTCTGCCAAATCAATGACAGTTGATCTAAACAGATTTTAGCTCGACGGTTTTGGTGCCCACGACGGTGCCGTCAGATAAAAATACCCCACTGACTCAGTGAAACAAATATCTGTCTCTGACGCCCTCTCGGGGGCGGTGCCATAGATCTCCAATGGATGCGCCACACCAGGGCTGCAGAACCTTCGAGTTTCGCTTGGACACCCTGGCAGTATGGCCAGGCCATCCAGGCTTGTCGAAGGCCAGGAGAGGGTGTCGTCGAAGGTTGACCACTTTCTGCGTACCAACGGTGTGCAGCACCTAAACTGCAAGGACTTGTGTTGCAGAAGTAAAGTGACTTCAGACTGGTCCTTGGGAATGTTGGGATTTTCAGACCCTGCAGACTCAGCCTTCACCATCCTTCACCGGGGTCCTTGTTCATCACCAGTCTTCACCGCCAGCCACGGATCGGCCCCAAAAGGACGCTTGCCTGGCCTGCCGCCTGCAGCTTCTTGGCGGAGGCGTGCAGCCTTCGCCTGGGCAACATCCTCCTCTTCAGCAGCTGCCTCCGTGCCACGAGCGCGGCCGATCGCTGGGTGACTGGGACGGCAGCCAGGGGCCCCCAGGGGCCTTCGTAGGCCCTCCACCCCCTTTGCTGGGTGAAGCTTGGCGAAGAGAGGAAAAGCTTTGGGCCACTTTCTCGGTGGGAAGACTTGGTGGACCAACTTGCTAGAAAGAGACCAAGACCCTCCGAACCTCCACAGAGTTCGACTTGTGTTCGTTTGGGGGCCTGCAAGACACCTTGGATCAGCTCTTCTCCACCGAATTGTGGCGGGGCAGCTATGTTTAGCTTGGTGCAACTGGGACTAGGCGGTGATCATCTGGAAGTGCATGGATTGTAGGTTTGGTACAGCAACCTTTACAAGAAGCAACGTTGCCAACAGCCTGCCTGGCACAATAGAATCTGGTGAATGACACCGAGGCCCTTCTGTTTTGCTCATTGTTTGGATTTGTTTGGAATGAACAACTCTCTCGTGTAATTCAGCAATGGCAGTTGTGGCAGATGAGGACTTCCTGGGTGCTCCTTTTGGGCAATTCACACGATGAAAACCAACCGATTTCCATCCAAACATGAGTCCAAAAAGCGTGTGGATTCCTGGTCAGGTCCTAGTTGATATATGGACCTTCACGGGGTGTCCTGGCTGGAGGTCCCGACATGTCGTGTCGGGGCTTCCAGCCAGGTCCCGACATGAAGGTGCTGGTAGTTATTTATATGTGCATATAACACACACCTGGGTAGTATAAGTTATATCTATTTCTTTCAACACACCACCCCAAACACTTTACTATCTTTACTGTTACACTGCACCAGCCTTTCCAGGAGAACCACCGAATCCGCACCCGAATCCGCCTCCGAAGCATCCGGCTTTCCACGTGGACCGTGGACCGAGACATGGGACCCCTCCACCAGTCCGGTGACTCACGACGGAGCCCCGAACGACGTTCGGACCGAAACCCAGTCCGGTGGTTTTGGGAGACCCCGAACCAGCTCAGACCGAGGCTATTGATAGACACCTCAACTGGTGTCGGTCCTGTTTTTCTTTTTTTCGTGACTCATGGGGTGGTAGTTCACGAGTCAAAAGGGAAGTTCATTTGGTTAGAACGGAAGCTCTTCACCATGGGAGCCCGGACCGGGCTTCCCCCCCTTCCTTCTTCTCCCTAACTCCCTAACTCGGGAACCCCGGGACGCAGGGCACGGCCGAAACCAGCGAGCCACGAGGTTCCTTGGAGTCGGTCGCTGCGAATGTCCAATTCCTGGGTCAAAGGACACGGATCTGGGTCAAAGGACCTGTAAGCTATGGGTACCTATGGGTAGGTACCTATGGGTAGGTATACCTATATGGGTATTTGTGGGATCCTCGAACAGTCGGGTCCTTCAACCTCCTTCTCGGATCGAACGCGGTCCAAGCCGCTCAGCTCAGGTCCAAGCCGCTCAGCTCCTCGCGCGCGTCGACGGTCTCCAGCTGCGTGGCGATGGCATCCTCTTCAATGCGGCCCTTCAGGGACCCTGGGAGGTGACCGAGCTGCCAAGGGGTCACCCAAGGGTGGTGGTGTGGTTAATAGTGGTGTGCCTCCTCCCATCCAGCGGTTCCTGGCACCCCTGGGCAGGCCCGACTTCCACTCTCTGGGAGTCGCTGAGGGACGGACCTGGAACCAAAAACCACATTTCGAGCGATCCACGTGGATGGCACTCAGGGACCTTCATAGAGGCCGATTTTGGAAGGGCCGATCTGCCATCCACTTCCATGGGCCGATCATGTTAGTAGGTTAGAGTGTAGAGATTGGTCAAAAGCTAGCAGTCAGCAGTCACATGCCTAGCACAAGAAGCGCAGGACTGATGAACAGTTCTTGACGGATGTTGACAGGGTCATGGTTCGAGAGAGGTAGGTCTTCGCGCTGCGGTATATACATAATATATATAGGGTTTCGGTGAACCAACAATAATAGAAGATTGGGCTAGGGTTAGATTGATGTGTGTGTATTTTAATTGGGAGATCCCATCCAATGGGTTTTGGTTCAATTTTCCATTCCGGGGAGGTCTTCCTAGTTAAAATGCACGCCCAATTAGAGAATCCCTTGTCCGGCAAGCACGCCAACGATGCGAGCTACGACACTAATAGGCGCTCGTGAGGGGGAGAACCCATGGAGCCAGTTGCAGCCATTTGTTGGGGAGTTTGGAGTTTCAAATTTCGATTCAGCAGGATAGGAGGCCCCTCTTAAATCCATGTTGAGCCCAAACGATCTCAGAAATAGAGAGCAAACCCGTCTCCAAGAGTTTTCATTGATGGATCGGTTGTATCAGGGATTGACTTGCTGATTGAGGACCAGTACGTATATACAGTGGTGCAGAGCCATGGCCATGCAGATTTCACTTCGACGACTCAACGGTGAGGTGATGGTTCTCGAAGCCGCACAAGAGACGACTGGGGGAGCCCTTAAGAAGCAAATCAAAGAGCGGCACCTCTGGGAGGACAAGCTCACAAGTGACACAACTCGAGTTGAGGTTGTCATTGGAGACAGCACGTTGCTGAAAGATGATGAGACACTTGCAGTCGCGGGCCTTGCTGCAGATTCGCATTTGACAGTCGTTTTCAAAGAGAACAAAGTGCGATGCTCCCACAAACGCTTCATCGCTCAGTTTCGCCATGAGATTGACTTCCAATCATCGATAGCGGTTGAAATCCCAAACAATATCTCTGAAATTGCGTGGGAAGCCTTCAGTGGATGGAGCACCTTGGCCAAGCTGACCATCTCCGACTCAGTGACCCGCATTGGAGATGGTGCCTTTAAGAACTGCAGGTCCCTGGCAGGTGTGACCATCCCCGACTCAGTGACCCACATTGGGTGTTCAGCGTTTGAGAATTGCAGCTCCTTGGCAAGCGTGAGCATTCCCCACTCAGTGACCTACGTTGGGTCTTCAGCCTTTGTGAACTGCAGCTCTTTGACAAGCGTGACCATCCCGGACTCAGTGACGGACATTAGGGCTAGTGCCTTTGCCAGCTGCAGTTCTTTGGCAAGTGTGACCCTTCCTCGTGTGACCCTTCCTCACTCATTGATCTACATTGAGCCGAAAGCTTTTGTGAACTGCAGCTCCTTGCAAACTGTGACCATCCCCCAGTCAGTGACATACATTGGTCATGGTGCCTTTGCGAACTGCAATACTTTGGCAAGTGTGACCATCCCCGACTCAGTGACCGACATTGAGCGTTTTGCCTTTGCGAACTGCAGCTCTTTGACAGTCACTGTGTCCATCTCTCAGATCCTCTTGTTTGGTCCCTTTGCCTTTCAAGGCAGCAGAAGAATCATAGCCAAAGAATGTGAGTGTCAACAATGCGAGTATAGCTGGCTTCTCAGAGGCTGGGTTTGTCCTAGACTCTGGAGACCTGACGGTGCCTCCACTGGCACTTGATTGAACTATTGACTTTTGCAGTGACCCTTCCAAACCTTCTGAAGCGTCACCAGCCACTGGCTACATGCGACTTCCAGCTACTGAAGGCTGCGACACCACACACCTGGTGGCCCTCGGAACACCACATGCCCAGTGTTTGGTGGATTTGGAGAAAGGGGGTGACAGCACGCTGAAAACAGAATGACAGCTCGCCCGGTTAAGCAGTAGAAGCCACCAAAAACAGCCTTGGCTGTGGTCCCTCGTTTTCTTTTCTTTTTTTCCCGAACTGAGTGTCTTTGCATGAAAAAGGGACCACAGATCTCGTGTATTCATTCAGGATGCAGAGGTTTTTGGCATGCTGAGGTTGCTTGTTCTGTGCTGAGGTTAGTTTCGTTTGGGATTTTTGGAGAGCAGAACAGGCCAGTTGAAAACTGTCTATTGATGTCTATTGTATCTATTGTAAGAACACCACCCAAACCCCAAGAGCTCTAAGCACCCCATGGCACCGATGGATTTCGAGTTATGTCAAGTCCATTTGAATCATTTGGAGGTTGTCAGACAAGTCGGTTTGCCCTGGTGATTGGGATCCTCAAATAGATTCAGTCAGTTCGACTTCGGAACCCCACTTGATGGATTTTCCACCAGAAACCGTTTAGCTGAAAAGAATGAATCAATCGTCAGATTCCATCGGATGGAATCTGAGAACGGGTCATTGGAACCGAAGGAAAGGAGTCATGAAAAAGGGCCGGGCCTTTCGAGCTATTCCGAATCCGACAGCGTGCCGGTGCCACCAGACCACTCCACGACCACGACACCACCAGACCTGACCGATCCCAAAGAGTCTTACATGAAGCCTGCCTTCGAAAGCCGCCGTCACCGTTTCAGCACCTGGCAAGATTGAGTCCTAAGCAGTTTGGGGGTCCAGTGACTTGAGGATGTTGATCTGTTGTCTGAATCCATCACATAAATCGGGGAAACCAAGAACCTGAAAGAATCCAACGAAGTGTTTTCAAGATGCCAAAACCTTCGGTGGTCGTTTCTGATTCCATTTGACCCGAACAAAAAGGCACGGTGAAGCGGTGAAGCATTGTTTGGCTCTTTTTTCAGTCCGAAATCCGCTTTCCATAAGCGATCCGAAACACGAAGTGCAAGGATTGGATGGTTGATCAAGGATTGGATGCTTTGTTCAATCTAGATAGGTCCCTTCTTCTTGATATCGGATCACGCTTTCTTGAACATTCAGTTCTAGATTTGGGTCCCAACCTGAGCTACTACTTCCAGTATCTGCCCACTGGGAAAAGCTGTTGCCAGGCTGCTCTTGGCCACTTGCGGAGATTGGAGGGGGCAAACATGGCCCAAGTGACCTCTTACAACACTGGGATGCTTGGGAGTCGCTAGAGCCTATCTACAGGAAAATCTACAGGAACACAGACATGTGGAGCTGACCTATAGCAGCCGACAGCAAACAAAGGCTTTCCTGTGGAATTTCCTGTAGAACTACCGTATGTTGCTGGCGAGTGTTTCTTGTTGTCGTGTGTCCTTTGCATACTTTTGTAGCGTGTGGTACATTCCGAAAGCCAGTGTTTGGATCACTATGCCTATGACAGACAAGAAGCTGAGAACAAATTTATACTTGAACACCGTGCAATGTGCCCCATCCTTTTCCATCCTTTTCCATCCTTGCAAACTCTGAGGATCAGTCTCTGCCGCGGCCATTGGTGTCACCAAAGGGCCTTGCTGAAGACGACCCAGACGCGCTCCATCCAAGCTGACGTCATCACCTACAACGGCCTGGCGACGGCCGAGGGCCTTCCTTGGCGAAAGGCACTACGTGGCTTGGAGGACTCTGCTCTTCAACACCTGAAGGCGATCGGATGATCGACCAATTTTGGGTGGTGGCGGTTGAGTTGGTGAGATTTGTTTTGAAGTAACGAATACGTTTGCAGTGAGTTGATTTCGCACCAATCAGAGTTCCATGACTCCTATCAATGACTCCTGCTCATCCTACCATCCTCCACTGTGGGTTCCACATCGCACCACGACGCGCACCGTCTCGTCTCAGGCGACCGTGGTGAGCCTCAACAGCGTGCTCAGCGCGATGAGCTTGGCATCTTGGTCATTGCCTCTGCAGATCTTCAGGTCGGGTCGGTCAGAGCGCCTGGACCTGGCGGGGTGTCCTGGCGGGGACCTTCGGCTCGAAGTGCCTGGACCTTCGGGGGCTGGGTGTCCTGGCGGGGCCTTCGGTCCGGTCGTGGGGGGGACGCCTAGCGCAACGCCCCAGCCCGCCAGGTGACCCCTTTCTCCAAAATCAGGCCAAAGAGACGTTGCGCAGGGTGGAGAACAGTGAGGTAGAAGGATGCCAAATGGAAACAAGATCTTGGCATTAATGTGACCTCTAAATAGATACGATGGTGAGAAGACAAACATGGGTGCTTTGAGCACTGATGAGGAAAGTTGATGATGGTGCTTTGAGCACTGAATGTTTTCACATTGCTTCAGGAGTCTTTTTTACCTTTGGACCCCATGTTCTTGCTCGATCAGATCCCTCGGTGTTTCCTCCAAAAGGCCTGGGAGGCAGGGGAGGAAGAGGCATGGGGCTACCTCTGAAGAGCCTGAAGGGTCATTGGAGTCAGCCCAGGACCCACGGTCGGGCTGGTGACTGGCCACCCCGAATCACCTTTAAGGGGCCATTCACGGACACCCGTGGGTCTGTGGGCCTGGTGTGGAACACTTGTAAGTTTGGGGCTTAACAAGTGCACGCTCCACTAGTTTGCTTTGGTGCTGTGGTCATATAAATATATATATATATATAAAGAATAATAAAAGACTATTTTCTTGTGTGGCGCTTCCCCAGCAGAGTCAGTCCAAAGAATCACCAGCTTTGCGCACTTTCCTTTGCTTGGGGGATGCACACTGGACTACTTTGGATATTGTGCCAGTGATCATTGGAATCCCGGATTTTGTCAAGGTGGGATTTCCTTACGTCACCCAAAGTTTTCAACTTTGCCACCGAAAGATCTTCTACACGTGACACCAGGTAGAACCTGTAGGTCTTCTGGGGCAGGTTGACCCCTCTCTCGCAGGACCTTGAAGCGTCTCAACTCGCTTAAGCCGGATGTGATCTCCTACACGGCCCTCGTGTCTCACATGGCTGGTATGGCGGACGGCGTCGCGCGGTGGTGGATGAGTGTCAGACTTCTGCAAGAGCTGCGACAGCAAGGCGAACAGAAGGGCTTTTTCGGAATCAAGACGTTTGAAGAAGATTCCGAATCCAAGTCGTGATACTTAGAAGAGTTGATACACTCCCAAGTGGTGATACTTAGAGGAGATTCCAACCAACTCCCTAGATCAAATATTCATGGTTACGTGGATGGCACCCCAAAAGGATGACCCCTTTCCTCTACTTCCACAGGTTGCTTTCCTCCACGGACCCATTCTTATTCCAGGCAGTGTACTTTATACATCTTTGTACAGTGGTTTTTGGAGTTGACAGGGGCCCCAATGTCGCCCAAAGAGGTGCTGTACTATGCCAATGTCGCCTAGCCTGGGTGACTTGTCGCCTAGCCTGGCCATCCGAAACATGGGGTTTTCATGCAGATCTGGATGATGAACGTGATCCGTTCCGATACCAAGCGCCCAGTGACAAAGTTTCAATATCTAATTCAGATACCAAGGATTTCAGAATATCCAATACCACTCCAGTGTTGATTATCACACCTCTCCATCTTCTTCTCATGGAACTTCTTAAAACTCCAGGTTGCCAAATTCGGGTTTCGGCGCCGAACAAAGCCGCGGGTTTCGCCCAAATCGGTGTTTGATGTCAGGGCTTTCGCCGAACCGCGTGAGCCTCAATAGCCTCATGGCGACCCTCCCGTGGCTCGTGGCACTGACATCGGTCTTGGCCATTGACGAAGCCTGGTTTTGCTGATTAGGTGACTTTTTCTTTCTACCAGCACCTTCCAACAGGTGGTTTCTGGACACCCCTTAACCCCTAAGAGGCTATTTATACACACCTCTTGGAAGGTCCTGGTATGGGTCAATGACCTTCTGGGGAATATTGTGTGTCCTTTTTCCAGGGTCCCGGAGCCGCAAATCCGGCAGCCGACGTGGTGAGCTGCAACACGGCGATGGATGCATGCGCGAAAGCAGCACAGTGGGGCAGAGCCTTTGAACTGAAAGAGCAGATGGGCTTGAACGCCTTGAAGACGGACGTCATCACCTCGAGCGCTTTGCTCACGGCTTGCGAAGGAGCTGCAGTTTCTGGGAGTGAAAATCCTACTTTGCCATCCTATTTTGGTAAGTACTGCCTACTGAGCCTGCATATTACATGAGTCACTGCGAGAGGTCTGGATCATTCCCTCACCTCGGTCTGCACCAGAAAAACACGCCCACACTTTGACATGCTCCTGCCTTCTGGTGCTGCAGAAGCCCTATCCCTCGGAATCCGGACCCCCCACGTTTCGGTGGAGAAGCTCCGACAAGGCGTTTGGGGTGCCGGGTCCCAAGATTCTTAGGGTCGAAGATTTTGTGGCCGCATGTCCTGTGCTTGTCCTCACCAGGTTTGGCCCACGGGTGTCAGATGGCTCTCGGCTTCCGTGGTCACCTTCTGCGGTGCGCTGAGCCTTTTGGCCCGCCGGAGCGTGGAGCTCTGGCGCGGAGCGCTGCAGATCTTCTCAGCTCACAAGGCCGAGCTGCTGCGGCCCAACTGCTATGCCTACAGCGCGATGGCGAGCTCTTTAGGAGCCCAGGGAGCCTGGACGCCTGGATGAGGAGCGAGGATATATTTATGTGCAGATGGTTTGTCCCATCTTGTCTTCTTTGGAGTTCTTTTTAGGCAGATAGGTGGGCAGACTGTTTCTTCTCTGTCCGTCTCTCACAAGTCCAAGGAAAGGGGTATTTCTGCTGCTGGCGAGCTTTAAAGCTCCTAACTTGAATATGATGAAGCTTTTCCTGTTGATTCGGATTGTTTCGGTCGGTTTCAGAATCCTTCGTGTGAGGCTTTACATTTGATCGGGCTTTTGCAAAAGGCATTTTTTTTGTTAACACACCCTACACTGGATGACTCTTTTGAGGTCTGCGGGATGGTCAGCTTGAAACCTAAAACTCCTCCTCCCTCCTCCAAGGGCGTCACCCGAGGCATCGCTCCGCCTGCCGCTCCGCCGGGTCCGCGACCCCGACGCCTTCCGCTTCCGCCGCAGCCCCGACCGAGGCAACGGGGCTGCGCATGGACACGATTCTGCGTAGTTCCTTGGTGAATGTCTATCAAGAAGGCCATCACTGGAAAGGTGCCCTGGACATGTTGGAGGCCACGGCGGGCTGCCAACGGCATGCTGAAACATCTTCTTGCCATTTCCATGTGAAGACGGCCAAGAATGTGATGCAGACATGTCATGGTCAGAGTCATAGTAGATTAAAGATTGGGGTATATTTACCTGTAACTGTTCTATCATGTATACTATGTGTACATATGTATTTATTTGGGGGCCACCATAAAGAACTACACAGCAAGCGACTGATCATGGATCTATATTATCCGTTGCTTAGGGGAATCTATCATCATCGTCTTCTCCGTACATTGCTAGTTCAACCCCCCACTGCCTGTCGCGTCCTCCAGGCGCCCAACCTCGTCGCCTACTGTGCCGTGATGGGCGCCACGTCCTCCGCGTCGCGCACGCCGCGCCCTCCGCACGCGTGGCGCCGCGCGGTGCAGCTCTACGCGGCGCTCCAGTGGGCGCGCGTGGGTGCTTTGAGCGCCTGCAGCACGGTGTGCGGCGCGCTGGAGGCGGAGAGGAGCGCGAGGAGCACCAGCTCGGCGGAGCTCTGGGTGGAGTTGCAGAGGAGAGCGCTCAGTGTGCTGAAGCGGAGTGAAAAGCGGATTTGGAGAGACAAGGGCCTCGACAGGGATAGAAGATGCATGTGGAGAGCATGACATGATCTCTTAGCCGATTTGAGGTGGCTGGCATACTTAAGTCTACCCAGCAAATCAGGCCAAGTTACAATCCAGCTGCTTTTCAGACTCAGAACTAACTGAAACACCTTAGCCCCGAGCGTCCCCAGTCCCGCTGCAAGGGGTCCGGCTGTTCCAAGGTCTCCGTGATGCCCACCTATGCCATGACCGAGACCGGGAAGCCCAGCCCGGGGAAAGTGTGTTTCTCCGGCGGGGCGCCACCGACGGCGGTGGTACCGACGGCGGTGGCACCCTAAACCCAACCAATGGGGTTTTGCCCGCAACTGGGCTTCTTGGTCAGGCGCGTTTTGGGCCGGTTTAGCTGGCTTCCCCCTACAGCACCCTGGCCTGTTTTGGGGTCGGTAGACTGGTCTATTTTCCCTCTTGCAGGGGGTCTGTGGGGGGTCTCCCTTTCGAAAACACACCCAACTGGGAGGGTCAAGAGATGTCAACGATGTAGACACCAGCACCACCCAAAAAAGGGTGACCTATATGGGGATGGGGAGGTTGACCCACCTGGAGCCCGACCAGTTCATGTAGCGAAAGACCGACACCAGGTAGGCCAAGCAATGTGTATAGATGTCATGGTAGGTATAGAGATTCTACACTCCCAGGTACTCACCCTATGGTGAAGGGCCCTTGGGAAGCGCAGGATCTCAAGTCATGTCGGTAGGTCAAGCAAGGTATCCTGGTCTTGATCCACAGCCATATTGAGCCCCCTATAGCCTCCCTTATTGCATGTTTCTATTCATGTAATAACCATACAGCCGAACTGGGTTGTACTGGATGACCCAAGGAAGATTCAAAAGAACCGCCACGCAGTTGTCGTCAGGTTTGGATTCCAGAGCTACACTCGTTCATCCAGATACCAAACTTTAATCCACTCTCAAAGCACCGAAACATGCGCCCCAAAACACCTGGTTCTGTCAGATCCACGCCCCCACTCCGCTCCACAATCGCTACACCCCGCCAAACGGACCGCGCTCCGCGTCGAGGTCGATGCCCATCTGCTCGAACCCGCGCTACGGGAAGCGGAAGCTGCGGTCCGTGGGCATGAAGGTAGGGGTTTCGGAGGGTTTCGGGTCGCCAAAGATGGAAGGATGGGAACGGAAGGAAGAGTACCAGCACCTGGATGATCGGGGTCACCTGGCTGGGGCGCGAAACCAGCCCACGAATTACTCAGGGACCTCGAAGGGACCTCAGGTCTGTTTCTCCAGTAGACTGGAGCGCCAGAACGGAGGTGGGACGACTGTCACTGACAGTCGGTAGAGTATTGTTTGTCCTGTCGTTTGATGAAGGACCCTGTGAAGCAAATTGGCGCCGCGGTCGAAAGGTTGTCCGTTTTCATGTCCTTTCGGCTGTGACATGGACAAATTCATCGAGGCACACCTTCGTTCCTCCGGTGCAGGCCGGCCCAGACATGCAAATCATGAACGGCCATCCGGTGCCTTGGTCCAAAGGTCCACCTTTGCGGGCGTACCGACGGTGTCTCACGATGATCGTTCAGACGGTGAAGGGGGCTGTGAAGGAACCCTCGCTCGCCTTCCCGGCCATTCAAAAGAGTTTGGTTAGACCTGGTGCAGGGGTCCCAAATTCTTCCTATATATATATCAAACATCGTGAAACAATGGTTGTCGGGTTGTTCGGTAAAAACAACTACCTGGCCCTTCAAGGGTTGTCCAATGGAGGTCCCTTAGTAGTGGGCTGGGGCTTCCATTGGTGACCCCTTTGAAGGTGCTGGTATATTAGTTTGCAATTCTTTAAGTATATTTTTGAATCAGTGGTGAAGGTCCTAGGACCTAGAGTGAAGGCTTTGCTTGCTTCCAGAATGGTGAATTTCTGGCATGTTCTGCATACTTCAGGCAGTAGAGTTGAGCCACATTCGCCCGGGATGATTTAGAGGATATTATTAGAGGGATGCAGAGTGAGGTGTCATGACTTGTCAACCTGTGTGCCGAATTCCTTTTGAGGTGAAGCACGCGGAAACTCCAGTTGGAATTGATGCCAACTGCCTGATGCGTTAGCATCAAGCAATTTGAAGGTTGCAACCGGGCCGGATTCTTTTTTCACAGAGGACATCACAAGAGGCAGAGGGTTCAGAGAGTCTTCTTCCGCGGAGGGGATCTCATGCAGTCACTGCAGTCACGGCAGGACTCAGTCACTGACGATGGTGATTGCAGGGGACAAAGACCATGCATTTCTTTGCAACAGGTCACACTTGAGACCTGTTAGGGCCCAACAGGCCACGAACGACTTGTCGGAGGGTACTGGTAGATGGATGATGGTTGCTCATCACATGAAAACCGATGCCGAAGGACATACACCGATGCCTCTTTAACTCTCCCCTTCAATATGAGTGCCTCACCCCCGGGATACACAGAAACACCTCAATGGGGCCCGTGAGTCCTTTCGGGGGCCGCACCGGTTTGTTTTGCGACGCCGAGGACAACAGCTTCATGAAAGTCGGTGAGGAGGGCGAGGCATCGGATCTCTTTGGGGGCTCCGCCCACGGGCGAAGCGTAGGTCTGCCTGCGTGGGTCTCCAGGATGGCTGGCGGGTGTCACCAAGAATCGGATTTGATCCGTCGTGTGGACACTGGATGAATCACATCCACAGTTGGGTGGAAAAATCATCTTCTTAGGCGGGTTGAAGAGTTTCATCAACCACCACTGGTACATATGTATCTTCCCTACTGATCCCTACTGTACAATCCGGGAAGGTACTGTGTGGGCGGCATCAGATTGTGTCTGTGAGCGTGTCCTCCCAGCGATTCAGCGTATCCGAACGTGCATCCCCAAAGTGCCACCGCGCATAGCCAGCCAGAAAACTTGAGAGGAGCTTCCCCTACTTCAGGGAGCCTCCACAATAAGACCAGGAGATTTTAGAGATAGTGGGCTTGGTTGAGCTGCAGCATCTTCTTCCCTACCAGGAGGAACTCTAGTCGATTGGCCAGACGTGTGGCATGCAGCGATGTCATTCGCTCCATATCGGCATTCGCAGGTGGTGGTCAAGCACGGGCCGGTGACGAGTGGCCACTTGGCGGGATATATGGAGCTCATGAGAGCTCACGAGAGCCCTTCTGTGGGGTTTCAGACAATTTAATTCTCAACCAGTGTTTGGGATGATTGAACCCACGAACTATCACGGACTAATTTTTGTTCAAGTGAGCGAGTTTAAACGGCCAACTAGAACTTCTTGCCTTTCTGCACTGCCCTGCATGACAAGTGTACGCCCATGCCAAAACCAGTTCCTCAGCAACCTCGAAAAGCGACCGATGCCATCCAAACGTCCATAGATGGATCAATGGTCGCAAGAAGGGGGTGCGAAACGCAGGTGTTACAACCGACCGAGCCCAGGCATCACCTCTGTTTTTGATAGGAAGTTTGACCATACATGCTTGGTGGTCCAAGATAGAGGTCACTCAGGTTGTAGGACATCATATCTAAGTTTAAGGGCCTCCAAATGGCACGAATCTTGCCAGCCATCTGAAAATACGACGATTCCCCACCAGCCTCAGATCTGCAGTGCCTGAACAGATCTGACTTTGCCAAATTTTCAGCTCCATCTCTCTTTCCTTTAGAAAATACACCCTGGGCACCACCGCCGCCGCCCCCCAAAACAGACCCACAACTGGTAGTGCGTGCACCAGACTGCACCGAAGCGAGCGAGGATACGAGTTCAGAGATCACATGGACGCGAATCCCAACATCGAAGCCTTTGGGGATGGTTGGCTCAGGACCGCGCGTGGGCGCGCGCTCGCGCGCGGGTGGGAAACCTACGGTGGAGTCCTTTTTTGAAGCCTTGCTTGGATTCTGCCATGTGAGAAACACCAAGCTCCACCTTTTTGGGGCACCGTCCGTGGGGCATTCTGTTTTCAGGCATCCTGTTGGGCCTGTTCGGCCGGAGAAGGTCTGGTTCTTTTCCAATCTTCGCTCCTGATCGTGTAAGCTGGCACCTCACACTATATGAATGGTCTGGGGATTGGATCCGACCACATCACTCAAGCTAGAAGCTGGCACATTCACCGCACGGATTGGATCCATTCATTCAACACCGAACTGGATCCAACTACATCGGCGCCTGGCCGACCACGCCAGGACAGGTGACAAGGGCTGGGTGGACTCCGATGGCGGCTCGGACTGCGCTTGCGCAGCTGCCGGCTAGGAAGGTGCAGTGAAATTCATTGAACTAAGACCCGGAACATCCCGGAACCAATGAGTTTTTGCAACATTTCCATCATCTTCCTTCTTCCAAGGGGTCTTTGGGACTCCCTTTTTCGATCCACACCCATTATATGTCTGTCCAAATCCATCCGAAAAAAGCAACAAAAAGGTACTAGTATGAAGGAGTCGGGCCGTGAACGACCGCAGAACAAGGAGTTCCCATTCTGTGCCATTGGTATACAACTGGAAAAAATTAAGCTCCTTTCACCAGATGTTCTTAGTATACCAATGATGTTCTACTATACCAAATTGGTATACAACAAGGATGTTACGAAAGCCAGCCTTCGTAGAAGGCGCCAGCTGAGTTGTGTTTGGCGAACGAAGTGAGTAAGTAGGGGGTCTTGGGGGGGTGGCCCAAGAACGTACCACGTAAACTCGAAATTAGGTGGGGGAGAGGGGTGCGCGGAAGTAAGGTTTTTGAGGTTGAGTTTTTGTGATTTTTGAGGGGGTGGTGATGCAAGAAATGCAGTTTGCATCATTTGCATCATCTGAATGGTAAGGTGTAGTTTTACAGAGACCGATGTGTTGTAGCTTCGTGCAGCTGTGAATGCATAACCTTCTTACACACATATAAGGTCAAAGCACTAATGAGCCTTCAAATCCGTGGATTGCTGCATGTTTCTCAAGGTTATCTAGCGGTTGACGCAAAGGGAAATTGAAGTGCTATACCTAGCAACTGAATTGTAGCGGTTGACGGAAAG